TGTGCGCACGGATTACTAAACTGTGCGCACGGATTACTAAACTGTGCGCACGGATTACTAAACTGTGCGCATGGATTACTAAACTGTGCGAACGGATTACTAAACTGTGCTCACGAATTACTAAACTGAGCGCACGGATTACTAAACTCTGCGCACAGATTACTAAACTGTGTGCACGGATTACTAAACTGAACGAACGGATTACTAAACTGTGCTCACGAATTACTAAACTGAGCGCACGGATTACTAAACTGTGCTCTCAGTTTAGCAATCCGTGCGCACGGATTTCCGGCGGCTGTTTTTCTTTTTTCACCACTGACCCCGGCGGGCTCGGTAATTTGTTGTATTTTTATTTTTGTAGGAAAGTCCTACCTGCTGTTGCTCTCTTTCCTCTCTGTTTGCCTCTTCTTCCTCATTTCTTTCTTCTCGCTCGTCTCCTTTCCCGCCTTCGTCAGTTTGTAAACGTGGGTTTGCTGGGTCGATGTGGGCGGAGCCAAAGGGTTCTGATGGACAGGACTCGTCATCTACGGTGATTAAAGAGATTCTAACCTCGTCTTCATCTCCACCGCCTCGGCAGACAGAGGAGGAGAGGAGAGTGTCTCCATCTGTCGGTTTGTTTCTATCTTTGTCTCTGAAGGAAACCATCATGTGGATCTCCTCTTCTTCCTCTTCTTCATCCTCCGCTCCTCGTTTCAACTTGACTTTTAGCTGCTGGTCCTCTCTTCTTTCTCTCCCTGCATGACCAGTTCTCTCCTCCTCCTCGCTCCTTTCTCCTCCCGTCATCTTGTTCCTCTGTTAATAATCTTCAACCATAAAAACACAGAAACATCGTGAAAAGACACAAAAACAACAACAGTAAGGACGTTTGTTTCATCGAAAAGCAGAAGGAACAAACTCTTTGTTTACATAACATGGACAGAGGATTATATAACCAACATTACAGCTGAAATAATCTGCTACATGAACTGAACACTTTACTGTTTCTAAAACAAGTTAAAAACAGAAGCAGACTCACTTAGTAAACACAGATCGACTCCTCCGGTGTTTTAAATTTAACCGCCAGGTTTTGTTTTAACCTTTTTTCGTCTTTAAATTCACGTTTTCAACTAAAAAAAAACGACCTAAACTGTCTTATATAGAGTTACTCGTTAGTTAAAATGGCGTATTATGTCGTAAATCAGAGAAAATAAACTTTCTCCGGTACGTTTTCTTTTTCTTCTGGCGCACACCGCAAGTTTGCTTGGCGCCGTTTGATGACGTCACGGAGGCATGTTTTTAATAATACTGATTACGCCATAAAACCTATTATTTTAGGTGCATTGTAAATAGCAGACAAAACGGGATATTTTTGTATTTTTTATATCATATTATGAAAAAAGTAATAAAGATGATTTATGATTGACACAAATAAACTGAAATATTCAGATCAAATCGACCCTCGATCAAGTCAATGCATGTATGCTTGTTACCTGTCCTTTTTCATGTCTGTTTGAATATACATGGACAAAATCAACAACAAAAAAAAGGCACTACTGGTGAAAAGTCTAAACGTCTAAAGCTTTGATCATAAATTCAAAACAAATACATATCAGTCATGGATCAATACAGATTCAATAAAATACTTAAAACTATTAGAAAAATAATAAATGTGTGTACATTTATGTGCATTAGACTTCAGCATTCAGACTCCTTTTTTGCTAAAAATCGTGAGAAATTGCAGCGGTGTTCTACTCGGCACCAGCAGGTGGCGCAAAATCACAACTTCAGTTTGTTTACCTGCCAACAAATTATCCAAAGAAGAAGAAAACTCAAACGAGGCGTGTTCGTGGGAGCCTCAGAGCTCTGTTTGGTAAGAAATAAAATAAAAATTAAACTCTTCTGTGACAATAGTTAACAGTTTTATGTTCTTAACACTTTAAAAGTATTTCGATTGTAAATGTGAGGTGGGTGGAGCTTTTTAACTGAAACTTTTACTTTATTAGAAAGTTAGCTGTAATGGTCTTCATGACCCAGGTTAGTGATTGTGGCCATTTGACCCAGGTTAGTTGTGTTCAGCTTTGTGAGTGGTACAAATTAAAGACAGCTGAAAGAGCTTTTTGAAGCTAATTATGCTAGTTGGTTCAAATATTCTCCAAACTACTGTAAATAAAATGTTAATTTGTGAGTTTTGCAAAATGTATTCATTGTTTTTTATTCAACGTTCTTACTTATTAAACTAGAGGTGGTACAGACTAGGGGTGTAAGAAAATATCGATACACTGAAATATCGCGATATTTCATTTCCCGATACTGTATCGATGTTCTAAAGCCCTGTATCGATTTTTTGTTTAAAATGTCAACTTTCCTGCCAGCCGTTCATTTTTATGTTGTAGTTCAGCCTCTGACCACTAGTTAGCAGCAGTGAGCCAGCCATTTGGCTCGGCCATCGTTAAGTGTTGGGTGACTATATTGTAAATTAATATTAAAAACTAAAAGCTGCAAAAAATATATTTTCAAACTRTTTATTGTCAAATTTAGTCTAATAATTGAAAACATGGATGAAATAAGAAATATGAAACAAGTAAAATAAAACACATACAAAGCAGAACACAGTTAAATGTATCAAAAGTATGTCTCTGTAATATTAGAATTTTCTGAGACAATAAATTTTGTTTTTTCATTTTTTCCCCAGTAAGAGGTTTTTATTTAATAGAAGTTTTGGACAAAAAATCGCAGTATATCAGGATATATCCTATCGTGACCCCTCTGTCATGATATGTATCTTATCGCCAAATTCTTGCCAATACACAGCCCTAGTACAGACTGATCTGTAGCAGATAAACTGACTACATGTCCTTGATTTGTTTTTGTACATCAGGTTCTCATTTTCACACAATGGTTAACAAAAAGATTAAACTGGACTTGGAGGCCTTCTCCTGCCCGATCTGTCAGGATCTAATGAAGGATCCAGTAACTATTGCCTGTGGACACAGCTACTGCAGGAGATGTATTAAAACCCACTGGGATGAAGAGGATCAGAGGAGAATCTACAGCTGTCCCCAGTGCAGGAAGAACTTCATACCGAGGCCAGACGTGGTGACAAACATCATGTTTGTGGAGTTAGTGGAGGAGCTGAGGAAGACTGACCAGCATGCTGCTCCAGCTGGAGCTGAAGATGTGTCCTGTGACGTCTGCTCTGTCAGGAAACTGAAAGCTGTCAAGTCCTGTCTGAACTGTTTGGCCTCTTATTGTGAAAAACACCTCCGACCTCACCATGAAGCTCCACCATTACAGAAACACCAGCTGGTGGAGCCCTCCAAGAAGCTCCAGGAGAACATCTGTCCTCGTCATGATGAGGTGATGAAGATCTTCTGTCGTACTGATCAGCAGTGTATCTGTTATCTCTGCTTAATGGACCAGCATAAAGAACATGAAACTGTCTCAGCTGCAGCAGAAAGAGCTGAGAAGCAGAAGGAGCTGGAGCAGATCCGACAACAAATCCAGCAGAGAATCCAGGAGCGAGAGAAAGATGTGAAGCTGCTCCAACAGGAGGTGGAGGCCATCAATGTCTCTGCAGATAAAACAGAGGAGGACAGTGAGAAGATCTTCACTCAGCTGATCCGTCTCATCCAGAAAAGAAGCTCTGATGTGAAGCAGCAGCTCAGATCCCAGCAGGAAACTGAAGTGAGTCGAGTCAAAGAGCTTCAGGAGAAGCTGGAGCAGGAGAAGACTGAGCTGAAGAGGAAAGACAGCCAGCTGGAGCAGCTCTCACACACAGAGGATCACAACCAGTTTCTCCACAACTACCCCTCAGTGTCAGCACTCAGTGAGTCTCCACACTCATCCAGCATCAAGACTCGTCCTCTCAGCTACTTTGAGGACGTGACGGCAGCTGTGGACCAGCTCAGAATCAAGATACAGGACGTCCTGAGGGACACCTGGACAAACGTCTCACTGAGAGTTTCTGAAGTTGATGCTCTACTGCCTCAATCCGAACCAAAGACCAGACACGGATTCCTAAAATATTTCCAAGAACTCACTCTGGATCCAAACACAGCTCACAAACATCTGGTTTTATCTGAAGGGAACAGAAAAGCAACATTAATGAAACAACAAAAGTCTTACCCTGATAATCCAGAGAGATTCAAACAGGTTCTGAGCAGAGAGAGTCTGAGTGGACGTTGTTACTGGGAGGCAGAGTGGAGAGGTGGAGCTGCTTATTTTGCTGTTGCATATAAAGATATCGGGAGAGATGGGAGTCATAGTGGTTGTCTTTTTGGATACAATGATAAATCCTGGGCTTTACGATGTGTCTCAGACAGTTATGCATTTTGGCACAATAAAACCTGCAGTCCAGTCTCAGTTACTGGTTCCTCCAGGATCGGAGTGTACCTGGACCACACAGCAGGGGTTCTGTCCTTCTACAGGGTCTCTAACACCATGACCCTCCTCCACAGAGTCCAGACCACCTTCACACAGCCGCTCCACGCTGGAGTTTGGCTCAGAGACTGTGGAACGACTGTTGAGTTTGTTAAAAGCAGTGGCTGAAAGCTATTATATTGTTTGTTTTGCTGTTTGTCTCGTTATAAACCCTCCTGACTTTGACTCAGTGACAACAGGAGGGTTTAGAAGATATTTAGAACATTTTAGAAATGATGACCTTCAAGTGTTTCTTGTGTTTGTTGATAAAACAAAGTAAGCAGATGTTGGCCATGTTGGTATTTTAAGAAATGACAGAAAACATMTTGTAACCAGAACTCTGCAGGGATTATAGATCCTCTCTGGACTGGGAACACTTTGGGATCCTCCAGGAGGAGGTCTGGTTTTCTCTCTGGGACCTGATCATGGATCAGCTGTAGAGGAGCAGATGATCYTGAGAAAGATGCTAGTTTCAAATGTTCTCTTCAAGTTTACATTTTAAATCTTTTTGTTTAGTTTCATTAACAGTGTTCTGTATTTACTGTTGTTTTATGGTTAAATCTCTCAGAGCTGCTGTGATTTTATATGATTACTATAATAATTTGTCTGTTATAYATTTCTGTTTTATAAAGAACAGGAGAGATGCTGTACTGTTAGCAGCAGAGGGTGGAAGATGTAATAATAAAAATGTTTTGTTCTGATTCAAGTTCTGTGTTGAGTTTAAAATCAATCAAACAGCAGGTTGATTAGAAATAATTCAAACATTATTCAGAATACAAGCAATGGGAATAAATGTAGTTTTACAAAAACTTAATACAGGTAAATGTCACCATTGGACAGATTGAAGAGATAAAGCACGTGAAATATTAGGAAAGATATAGGTATTTTTTTAAAGAGTTCATTATAATA